AAATACAACTTTCTTTATTGTAGAAAGCACCAATTTGTCTTAAGACTCCAAGTTCAGTAGTAGCTCAAAGAACATCAATGGGTCCTGACAAGCTATCTGGTAACTTAAATGGCCAATTGTTTTTCATCTGCTTTCACAAAAACTCACAGCCACAAAAAGAAGTATTTTCATTTCTTTAAGGAGGTTGTGTACTAAGAGTGGTAGGAAAAAAAGGGAACAATCAGAAGGAGCCGCAATATCTGGATTTTGTACAAGATTATCGACCGGATACTGTAATTGCTATTATTCCTCCCTATCTGCTTTTGCACCTGGCACTGGAAAAAAAAAACCCCACATCCTTTCAGAACAGGAAAAATGTTTTAATTTACTTTTGGCACTTTCGCAGTGTACAGAAAAAAGAAAACTAGGATGTATAGTTCTGAAGACTGGAAACAATTCTTCTCTCTATATATATATTTTAAAATGTACTCATTAGATTGAACTTTGGACCTGGGGAGTTTAGAGAAACTACATTTGATTGTTGCAGCTTTATAAATGACTATTTTATGATGTATGGAAAGCTTTCCAGAAAGATAAATGGTCCCTGAGGAACTGAATGCACAATGCGTGGCAAGGCAAGGTTTAGCTCTTCAAAGAAAGAACAACAAAAACTAAGTGGAAACAACCAGCCTTTAAAAGAAGCCCCATCGCCACAGCCCAACCCAGTATTAGCTGTGTAGTAACTGTCAATTATGGTGACCCTTGTAGGGTTTCTGAGGTATGTGGGATATTTAAGGGGTGATTTTACCAGCTCTACCCCCTTAGAGAGTTTTCATGGCTGAATGGCATTTGAACCCTTAGGTCTCCTGAGGCCTAGTCTGACACTCTATCGGATAGAGTGAAATAGTGGATAGAGTCTATCCACTATTTCACACTGTCTCTCCAGTAGCCATGCTGACTAAGGGAACTTCAGGATTGCATTAAAAAGAGTTACATTCCTAAATTCTGACTCGCTGCCCAAGATGTAAGGAACTCCTGTGTACTGAGTCAAAGCAGAAATCCATATTATCCAGTATTATTGCTCCTAAGCCTTGACTTTCAGTGGGAGAATTTTAGCTGTATCACCAGGGTCCGAACCAGGGACATACAGTACTCCACACTTTCCATCGTTGAATCACAGTCATTTCATGAGCCCAGTTTGTAGAACCTATTATATAACAGTGTTAAGCACTTACTTAATAAGTAGGTCTTGTTTCCCCTTTCTTGTAGCAAGGGAAAACAGGTTGACTTTCTTTGTTTTTTTAAGTCATTATATCCCTGCCCCTCACAAATCCCTTTGGGCTTTTCTTGCCTGTCTTGGATGGGAACTCTTATCTGCATCTGAGCCTTGTGTGCATTTGAATTGGATCTGTTCTTTATTATTGCTTACAACTTAACTTATTTGGATTGAATTTTTCATTTTATAATTTTGCTTCTAACTGCTATATACTATCTTGGAGGCTCTAAGGCAGGAATATGACAATAAAGAAAACAACCACTAGAATAACCACCTAGAATAACCAATGTCACCACTCAGTAAAAAGAAGCTTACTTGCAATGTCACACAAAGCGCATGATGAGGAAATGTTACTATTTCTCTTATTGTGAATGCCCATTTTCAGATCTTGTCTCAAGATTTCTGCCAAAGTCAGAGAGGTACAGCCTGCTTATTTGACTACTAAATTGGACATTTGGGGAAATTCCATAAAAACTGGTCTTCATCAGAATCTCATAATTACAGTGGTGCCTCAATTTACGAACTTAATCTGTTCCGGAAGATGGTCGTAACTTGAAATGGTCACAAATCGAAGCACCACTTTCCATAGGAATGCACTAAAATGCAATTAATTCATTCCAGCCGAAGGAAATAATCACCAAAAAACCCACAAAAGAAAAACCACTGCAATACCCACTGGAAACACGATTAATCCATTCTGGCTGAAGTGGGGGAACAAAAGCAAACAAACTGTGCAAGACCCTTCAGAAATGCAAAAAAAGCAAAGCAGAAAGCAAGCAAATCGTGCAAGACCCATCAGAAATGCAGGCAAAGCAAAAAACCATGCAAAACCCATCAGAAATGCAAAAAAGCAAAGCAAAAAGCAAGCAAACCGTACAAGATCCATCGAAAATGGAGGAGAACCCCAAAAAGCAAACAAATCCCCAAGACCCATCAGAAATGGGGAAAAAACCCAACAAACAAACAACCCCCCCAAGACCCATCACAGCATAGAAACATAATCCCACCATTCAGCCCAATACCACACTGCAAAACCCACCCAGAACAGTTTTTAAAAAGCAGAAAGCAGCACCTTACCTTACCAGGCAGTCCAAAGCCTCCTCCGTTAGGGTGAAAGTGCTACAAAGAAGCAGCCTCTTCGCCTACCAACGGTTAGCAGTTTGAATTCCCTGCCTTTTTTTGGTTGTAACTCAAAGCTCCGGCCGCAAATTGAAGCAAAATTTTGCAGCTGGAGCTGGTTGTAACTCGAAATGGTCGTATGTCAGGACGTTCGTAAGTCAAGGCAGCACTGTATAGATCTGATGCAAGTAGCTCTGGTTCAGTTATTCTGAACCTTTGAAGCGATGTACGACTGGCTGAGTCACACTACTGTTGTAACAATTTCCTCAGTTCTCATTATTTTATACAGTACAGTGAGTCTATCTATCTTGATCCTGGTCTGGAGATACTTGAAATGTCAAAATTTTGAACTTGGCACTTGAGAGTTCAATGTGGTTGGTATAGACATCAGATTAGGGTCAAGGAGACCTGGTTTCAAAGAGGCCGTTAAGAGTGACTGGGTGACCCTGGGGACAGACATTCTCTCTCAGCCTAAGCTTTGCCACAGCTCGTTCTGAGGGTAAAACAACTCTACTTCTAAGGGGTGAGAACCTTATGGGATGATAAGTGGGAAAAGAATCATACAACACTGGATTCCTTGGAGGAAGGGCAGGATAAATTTTTTAAAAATCATATATACTCAGTTTTCCTCTACCCATAAAATATAGCTTCAAATAAAGCTTGCACAAAACTGCTTTGTCTGAATGATGAGTGTCTGGCATTGCCATACAAATGGAAATGATGTAAAAGGTTCCCTTTGTTTTGCACCATTTCCAGTTGAGCCACAGTGAGAGGGAAACAGTCACTTGCCAAGGCAGCACTTACGAGTTCTGGATGAAAAGCCACCAGTGATTTATGCAACCATTTCAGGCCATTGTTTCTTTTATCACAAGGGTGCAGGCCCAGTGTCCCTTTAGCATCAATTGGTGCCACACAAGAATCTCCATGTTGGATCAGTCTCAACCAAGTGTAGTTGAACTTTTGGTTCTGTACACAGAAAAAACAAAATACATAACAGACTAAGCTTTGCTTGTGGACTATTACTACTAATTTCTTTCTTCTCATTCCAGCATTCTTCAACAATAAAATTTGAATACCAAAATAACACTACAGAAATAACATTGAATTCCATGGGTCTTAGCCCTACACAATTGTGTTCAGGATTAAAGCCTAAGTGTGTTTTCAGTGTAAGCATGGTGTTAATTGGGAACTTTTCTCAAGATTGCTTGGCCATAAACTCTACAAAGGTGGACTCTAGAACGGAGCTTAGATGTAATGAGTTGTAATACCTGCAACTAGTTATGCTTTTGCTAGCAAAGGGAAAATCATATTTCAGAAATTATGATTAGGACCATTTTCCCCCACTGATATAATGAGCAATGCTTTCTAGTTACTCTGAAAAGTTACCTTAAACACACATGTTAAGATATTTTAAGACATTTTAGAGTTGTTTTTCATTCCCCCCTTTCTTTATTTAATCCTAATTTCTTTAAAAAACTAGGTAACAAAATAGCAATAAGCAGTAGAAGAAAAAAATGCTAATAAATTTACTTTTTTCCGACCCTGCAACTGAAGTAGATTGCTTCTCAAACACTGTAACAAATAATGATAATGAATTACTTTTTAAAAGTAATTTTCTGTGCTCTTCTCTGGAACACTTTTGATAGTCCTTTGTAAATTTAGTGATTTCTACTGATTTATATCAACCCTAAAACTATCCACAAAGTCACATTTCCTTCTATCTTCTTCATACTCTTCTCCTGAAGTATCCGGTGTCTAGTGTATTCAAACAAGGCTTATTGTCCAAACCACAACATAGCTGGAACAGTATTTTGATGAATATTAAAAGAGTCCTTTTTCTCTACACTATCACAGTCATGATGGGAACCAACTGGTAAAAACTACTCAGCATGTAAATAGCTGGGTCTTCTAAACAGGCATTTCAAAATAGGCTTTAGAGCACCCCAGTTTGGCATCTAATATGAGGAATATAAAATGAACCAACTTAATGGTCTTACCTTGTTCTTAATGTCACATGGTTCAAAGGCCAGACTAGACTGATTCACAGTGATGCATTTAGCTAAAGCTCTATTCATGATCTAAAAGAAACAAAGAAATAAAGGAAAAGTTTAACAGAAGAACCAAAAGTAGACTCGAAGGTATGATATGGTAATGGAAATGTTGAAATAATTCAACGATGTATTTAATCGTTACCGTCAGCTCTCTACTTGTCTTCCACCCATACGAAATAACCATGGAACTATTAGATAAAAGTATGCCAAGTAAAATTATATTTATGGGTGATGGCAGCTGGCATTCTGTAACCCTCCAGATGTTGGACTCCCATCATCACACACTGCCTATGTGACATGAACTTATGGGAGATGTAGCTTATCTAACATTGTGGCCGCAAATTGCTCATCCCCGCTCTAAAGGAAACCCTTCTGTCTGGGAGCCCCTGCCTGCCTTCTGATCCTGAGATGCTTTAGACAAGACAGGAAAGGTATTACCTGAAAAATGAAGTATGGGCACTGGCTGGATCCCGTTTCAGCTCAGTGATCAGAAGAATTGTGTTCATTGATGGATCCAAGAGAAGAAGGAAACAAAAACAAGGATCCAGTTTTATGAATGAGGGCTGTGTACCACTCATTCGATAAAGGACGTTTTCTGCATTGCCCCTTCCCATTCTTGATTATGCCCATGGGAATATCACTGCTTTATCTTTTGTCATTATTGTCAAGCACTACCTTGACCCCAAACCTAGGCTTACACCAGGGGTGAGGAGAGAGTAGGTAAGATCTCTGGGTGCCTTGCATTATATTAGCATGTTTTGTTTAAAAATTTATTCTCCATTGTCTAATGATAACAACAACTAAAAACCTGTTCCTTTCTCTGCAAAAGAAGAATTAATTTCTGAGAAAGAACCCTTGGAGGAAAAAAACAGGACTGAGTTTTCAAGTCAAAGGACTCGGGTCTCATACTGATCCATTACGCTTAATGCTCAGCATGTCTTCCCCTCTGGCTCACTATTTTGTAACTAGTTCCATCTGATAATTCTCAGGGTTCTAGTTTCTTTTTTAATTAAAAAAAGTTAAATTTCATAAGGCTAAAGTCCCATATCTGAACAAGGAGGAACGAGTAAACAATTTCTGAATATATTGTATCCAGAAATCCTAGGGAAGGGACAACATAAATCAGAATTGACTCGATGTCAGATAATTACTGTAATTAGATTGAAATAACCAGCACATTAGTTAGTGGACTAGTTGTACTGAAACAGTAAGTTGTCCGATCACTCCAGTAGACTCATAATTATCATATGTTGACAGGCAAAACCAGAACCTAATTTGGCTGGAGCCAGAGACAGAAGTGAGTAACACAGAACCCAAAGTGGGCAAAATCTGATGAACTGTATAGTTAGTTGTTTCTCCCTACGACTTTAACTCTCTACCTCTCACACAAGAAGTAATGATGCCCAGAATTACCATTGCCCTGTAGTCTAGGCAATAGAAGGTACTTCGTGTCATCATAGGATGAGGCATTTCTTCCCTACTTGGATGTTAGGCTGCCGGTGCCCAGAGGAGTGGTCTCAAAAACCAGCATGTGTAGAACTACAGCATCAGTAGAACTAGATAAGATTTAGAATCACAGGAAATGAGATCAAGAGTTATGTTTGGTCCTTCATGCTTTCACTATCCAGCCACAGATTTCGATGATTAATTGGTTGTTTTCAACTCAAATGAGCCATGCTGGGAGCTTCAGGCTACTATAACTCTCAAAAGTATCATTTTTAAAATAACCTACACAAAAAAGGGTAGCATTATCTGCTTCTGGAAAATGATGGCTTTGCTCCCAGGTCTCTATTGTCTAATGTACAGTGATTATGAATTTACATGACCTTGTTTTAATTTATTTAGTGGTTAACTATTTTTATAGCATTTATTTTTTGCGTAAAAATGAATTTTTAAAAAAATCTTAATTGATTCAGGAAGTCATCAGCCACACTAAATACTTCCTGGTTTCTGACCAGCAATTATACCAGAAAGAAGCCAAGAAATATTCGGTGCAACTAAAGACTTCCCGAATAATTACGGCAGGCCAAAAAAACAAACAAACCCAAAAAACAAAAACAAAAACCCAACACATGTTACAACTTTACATAAAATAAATGATGTAGACAATACTTAGCCACTAAATAAGTTTAAACAAGGTGGAACAGGTCAACACCACTGCAGATAAGAAGGTGAACATCCACCTCTGATTAATATACTTGGGTCTGTCCTAAAACTAACCCTTCTTGATGCTTCTTTACTTCTTCAAATGTTGTGATTTAGTTTTGTGCAGGGCAGTATCAATGGCAGGGAGTTGTTACACTTTGTGCTCTACTCCATCAACATCTTAAGCAGAGAACAGGTAAGGGTACAATTCTCCACAGCTGACCTTATGCAGTCAATTTGGTTGCCCAACTCATCATGACAGCAATCTTCTCTCTTAAAATGAACTTCCCTAACCAAGACGAATTCAGAGTTTTAAACAAACTCTTCTGGGTTAATGATGTGAGCTGTAATTTGTTAACGTAAAGGTCAAATAAATAAATAGAAATAAGTGGCTAAGCCCTCCTGCTGTCATCACATCTCAGCCTGTTAATGGATTCAATCACTGATTGCATATTGCATTTTTCCAGTCATGTTCTAAATGGATTATCCAGTATCTTTTTCTTCTTTCCTCCTCACAACACCCTTCTTCAGTTCTGTGCTTTCTGTGGGGTGCCAATAGCCCATTCTCTGTCCCTAGAGTGACAAGATGCAAAAGAGAACAGGGTTCTGGAATGGGTTAACAGCTGTTTAGAACTCACCAACTTTATTGTGCAAGTGGCACTTGTTAAAATTACCTTTTCTACAAAATTAGTAAAAGGTATAGGAGCTTGATCTTTCTTTCTTTCTTTCTTTCTTTCTTTCTTTCTTTCTTTCTTTCTTTCTTTCTTTCCTTCTATTTACCTATTTAAAGTATATTCCCTCCAATTATTTAGTAAACTTTGTCCTTCTTGAAAAAAGGTTGCAGTTCATCTGATGTCACTAACTGAACAACAGGACTATAACTTTCTTCTCATATCACAGCCTGTCATGAAATGAACACAGAAAGCAACCTCACTGTGGGAGAGGACCTTTGTGTGAATGTGAAAAAGGGACAATGTACAATAGTTATGCTATCC